TAGATCAAATTTCATGTGAATCAAGCTTTTTTGAAATTTACTCTAATTATTTTTCTATTCATTATTCTGTTCATTAATTTACATGTGATATATTGAAGTAATTTCCATGACAATTCTTATAATTACTGTAATAAATAGTAAAAACCATGTGTAATGTACTGGGTTCCTATTTATTTTTCAAAAAAAGATTCTTATATAATATTTAAACTATAAAATTTATTCAAATTAAAAAAAAACATTGATCCTTATCAAAGCCAGAGTTTTTTTTTCTCATAGGGAGGAGGTAAATGTAAATCGTGGAATAGTTCCTGTCTGTAAGCCTTAGCTTTCATTGAAGGGAGTGTACATAACAGTGTATATAGGCAACTTGACAAAATGAAGATCCCCAGCTCTGTAAATCTTATTTGTAATGATAACAAGGAAGCCAAATATCAAATGTCATTTTCACACATCATTAAAGACACACTCAGTGTACTGTAACATGTACAAAATAACCAAAAACATAACCCTCTCATTAATTCTTGTTGACATAATATGGGAAAATTCAACCTATCAGCCCATAATTTCATTACAAGGCAAAATATTTATGTAATTTTTTTTTCAGTGGATAAAAAAGGTCTTCATGATTTGGATATGACTGTTAAATATATAACTAGAGGATCAGAGAGGCGATACCGCCTCCGAATATTGTACCACCAGCTGGAGCAAGCGCATTCGTATAGACCCCCACATACACAAAATAAGGGACACAGCCACCAGTTTTGTGCTTGACAAGCTGTAAAAATGCAATCAACAAGAATTTTTAAACTATTGCAAAAAACATATATGGTACAATCAAATTTAAGTTCTTCGTAAGGTAGGTCAAGGGTCAATTTCAAGGTCACAGTAAATTGCCAGTATATGACTTCATATTCAAGTTCAAGAATAACTATGAACCTATCTCTNAATAACATAGTTACTCTGCCCAGGCTATAATTTATTTTTTGTTTTCAATTCAGATCACCTCAGGGCTGTGCCTTTTTGTTAATTTTCTTTTAATTTATTGTAATTTCTTTTTCTTTTTTACATTTGTTCCTCTTTTTCAGCAGTAAAGCCCATCTTCACCACATAGTTACATGACAGAGCTATCACCACCTTGTTATATTTATTCAGTAGCCGTAATACCAACCTGACCCTCAGACCACAAGCATGGCATCAAAGAACGCCACCCTGCACATCACAAACATTGCCAATAACCACAGCTATTCCATCGACCACAAAGCCTCTACCTTGTCCGTTCCTCGTCCCAGTCTCTCCTGCCTTCGCCAGCCGCAGAACTAGCCAACATTTTGTGGTTTTGATCATCTGTGATAACACCCTGAGACATGAAATTATGACGAGGATTTTAGGAGCAGACGGACGGCCGTCAGACTATGACCACTAATTCAACAATGGAGTGGGAGAATTATGCATACCAAAGTTCCTACACGGTCATAAAGAAACTTTTGTTGATCTATACATGCATATTAATTAAGTCATCTATGCCTGAACATGTTGTCAGTATTCCTAAGTTACATGGATTGAAACTTAACCAGACATTAAAATGTAACAGTGTATGTGCAGATTTAAAACAGCAACTACTACTACTACTACTACTACTACTACTACTACTACTAATAATAATAATAATGCATTTATACTTCTAATTCATGTTCCCTAACTGTTATATAGTAAGTCTCCTAATAACATAATTATATGTATATATTATTGAACAGTTATAAATACCATGTTTGTATTACTATTATTTTACATGACTTTATTTATTCTAAAGGTAAAACACCTACGGCTTTGTTACGCAAATCAGAAATTTCAAACTTGCCTATACATATACATGTACAGACCAGTATACGGCCATGTTTATGTTAAGGTGCTTTTTTATTCAATTATTTGCACAGCTAGAAACAAGCCAAAACAGTTCAAAAGCTCTGCAACCAACGAGGAAAGATATAATCTTTGTAAAAACAAAATGGGAAAAAAAGAGAGCACGTGTAAGGTCGTGTATGGTATGCAACCACGTTGGCCGTTACACTCCACACACGTGATTTTACTCAACGTTCTACCTCAAGTTTCTTCCTCACATCTGAAACCCATCCATGAGGTAATTCCACTCCTGTCAAGATTCTACCAAAACTGAAAATGGTCAGACTTTGACGACGTCAGAGAGGTTTTGTTGTTGGTTACTTAAGGAAGTTTGTTGTGCTCCATGTCTTACAGGTGGGGGCTGGGAGATAAACTGAAACATCTTTTTTGCGGGGATTGTTGTTGGTGCAAGTGGAGGGCAAATCAACACACAGGGGCTAAAATCACTTCCTTTATCTACAGCCATGAATTACACGATTCACAAATCAACTTCATTCCATTAGTGGTCAGTTAAAATGTTTACTTTAATTTTCCTACATTTGAATTATATTATCTTTTAAATCAAGAGATTCAAGGCTATACTATGCAGACTGAATCAGTTTTGCTTTCTGGCATTTAGTTTTTGAAGCTTTTGATTGTGATTTCAACAGTAATCAGCATTATGCAAAATTCTTATTATCAGTTTCACATAATCTCTAGCTACGTATATGACTTTGCATATGCAGATTCATTTTCCAAAATCATACTTTTTATAAACTGCACCACATAAAAGTGATGACTATATAGGTTTTACTATTTAAACAAATGTAGATAAATCTGGTATGTGGGGCCTTCCAGAATACAGAATTTTCTTGGAAGATACCTTTATCATTATGCCAATATTATGACTGTCCTTGCCGAAAAAAATGTTGACATCCCATACTCCCCCCCCTCTCAATATCTAATCACCTTTTGGTTTGATCTTGGCCTCAGTGTCATGTTCATCTGATATGATAGAATGAACACAGCATATTTTGAATACAGGTCATATTCACATCATAAGTGAATACGATATGTATCGGTATGCTTTGAGAGGTCTTTAATGTACCAGTATAGACTTGAACTAATTATGCTGCTCAGTTTCACTCCTTCCTGTTTGTTAATCAATGGACTGTGTCAAGCAGGGGGGGGGGAGGGGGGGGGGGGGATGGGTGGGTACATTTGGGTGACCCTCCACCAAAAATGCCTGGTTTAAAGTTTTCAGTTTGTCAATGTGTATCGGTAAAGACTGTTTATCCCTAATAGTGTGTATCGGTATACAAGCTGCTCTAGATCAGAGATTTATTTATCCAGAAGTGATTTATATATATCCCTTATGTTTACTATTTCCCACCTTGCCAAAGTCAACAGCAGTACCTGATAGGTCTTAGACTAGATTTTGGAGCCTGAGAAAATACACTGGTGTCCTTCATACTATGGTAATAATTCGCAAATTTCAAATACCTCAATTATGCAATTTTATACTTTCAAGCTAGATTAAGCATTTTTTGGTTAGGTAGAAAAATTGTTTCAGAAATGAGCCCCTGCATGCTCAGATAAAATGTCAAGGTGAAAGATAGATTGTAGCTGACAGAAATGTGTATCTAAATTTTAAAATGCTGTGCAGACTGCATAGAAAAGATATGTATGCATGCATCTGTTGACAAAAAACACAACTGAGAGAGAGAGAGAGAGAGAGAGAGAGAGAGAGAAATAAAGTAGATATAACCAGAAAAAGTGCTGTGTTAATAACCTCGCTGGGGTACACGTGTACCTTTACCCTGTGTCACTCACTACTCGAAAGTTCATGACACATGATACTATTGTAACATCTTATGTGACTTCAATTGACATTCTCTAAGCCTAAGTTATGTCTACCAGTGTTGAAAGACATACCAAAACAATATGTTCATTCTTTTTCAGTAAAAAACAGTTGAACTAACTGAAATTGTATTCCTTATAAAGATCTTTCACAGAAGCTCTACTTGCAGGAATACATTTTTCGGCTGTTTTTTGTAACAAAGAGCCCTAGGCTATTAAATATAAGGGGTCATCGATATTTTTTAAATCAAATTATCCAACAATGTATTATAATATGACCCATACAAATAATGGTTATTAAAAAAGGCCCAAAAGATATGGCACAAGGCAATTCATATATTCAACTTATTATCTTTTAGGTCTAAATACATGTTACAGTTGTCAAAGAAGTGCAAAAGGCTCTATTGAAGTAGTTATGTGTTCCTTAAAGTATTAAAGCAGCCAAATGTCCCCTACAGTAGCAGCAAGAAATATGTGTGCAATTTGTTTCCTCTGCATAGTTGACAAGTTTCAATTTTCAGTGTGGCATTTAGAAAATCTTTCTTTTTTTTTTTACCAGAAATACACACCTCGTGGAAAGTATATATCGTAAAGCTCTAGATCTCCATACTTGTCTATCTTTGAGAGGTAAAACTTTTTTATATAAAATAAAATAATGCTTCAAGCTGTCATATCCATAGCATTAAAACACATCCCATTGTGTTTTTAAACCAATTTTTGATTCTTAAAAATATGTTGACTCCTACATACATTTTGTAGTTAATTATCAGTATGGAAGTGTGTATCTTTGAATGTAACACAAACGATCTGAAATATCCTTTTATGGCTTACATAATCCATTTTCTTTTCTAGAGGAAATGACATGTTTTACTAGAGCATTTAAATTTTATTGTTCATTCAAAAAATATTTCTCATTATAAAATGAAACTAAAAAAAAAATCGGACTTCCTCCTCCAGCAGTGCTCCCTATGTGTCTACTCTAACTCTGCCCACATTGTCTGGAAAACGTTACCCAAGCATACTCTCCAAACATAAATAAACTACCTGGCAAAATAATCTAAGCACAAAAAAACAACAACAATTATCATGCAACTAAATGTCCCAATATAACATCACAACTCAGTCTCCTCACTGATATATCCATCCAGAAATAAACACCAACTAAGTCCACGTGGAAAAAAAAATGTTCCATTTTATCTAAAATGTATTTTCCAAAGCAGACGTCATCGCTGAGTTTCCTGTCCAAGGGGTGGAGTAATGACTGGCAGACTGTTTACAGAAGCTGGCAAGGAGCCACATGGTTGATCACACAGAGTATATATCCAGCCGTGGGTGAGAGAGAGCTACCAGACGACTGCCAACAGACTCAAATAGTGGACGTTCTGTACTGCATCTCTCCATTTGGGATATATTTATTAGAGTATATTGTGCGTCTTCAGACTAGGAACAGACAAAAAGGTGAGTGGATAAACTGAACTTTTTTTCTTGCAGTATGCTGTTTGGCTATCACCTGTTTGTTTAAGTTAAGAGTTATTTACGAGTGGAATTTTTGATGTGTTGCTTACAAGCTAGCAAGAATGTATTACTTGGAGCAATATTGGATTCTTAAAACTGTAGTGTAGAGAAGTCAATAGGCAGGACATCTGAAATATATGTGTATCCAAATCTTAAATTTTTTTAGAATATTTGAGTTGGGGTTCAAGTGGAATATGGAATGCATGAAAAAATTTAGAGTGCCCCCTGCATGCAGGTACAGGTAAAAGTTAATGCACAGGCCCTGCTTTAAAATATTTCCTGCATATAGCTTAAACTGTACATAAAAAAAATAAATAATTTCTGAAGATTTAAAACCTACACCACACATTGAAATGTGTAATATCATGATGAGAAATTTGAAACATCATGATCTTAATATGTCAAGTGTATAAGTAGCCCCAGTATTTTATGTTTGATAGAAAGTTAATTTTCAAAGGGCTAACTGATTTGGCAGTAGCTCTATCTAGGTATGAAAATAATACTAGTAAGCATTTATACATGTACTAAGAGCAGAGAAGGGAAAGTTTGACTGCTCTTTATTATAATCACCCTAAAGAATGTACTAGTACTAAAAATCAGCATGTATGAATTTGAGAGCAACTCAATTTCTTATCTGTATAAAGTTTAAAAATCTATAACTGGGCACACTGGTATAATTCATAACAGTTGACATGAGTTATCATAAGTCCAGCAAAGGATTTAAAAAGCTTCATTCATGTAACATATAACTGGATGGCTGTTCTTCATAGCATCATCAGTCTCTTATCAGAAACTGGTGCACACCTGGCATGTAAGATAGAACCATATTTCACCTTGTGTAAACTTTCCTATTTTTCTGCCATCTCTCTGGCTGGGTTCTGTACTAGAGTGCAGAGGTGCTGATGGTTATCACATAAATATCTGCACAGTCAATTAAACACTGATCATATTAGAACGGCAGTGCACCTAGCAGCCTCCAGACAAAACAGCTACTGTTGCATGCCATGGGGCACAGAGAGGACTTTTTTCACCAGACATTTTCAGATATTTCTTTGGGTATATTCTTTGCAGATAGCTATACTGTTCAGAAAGAATTTTTTCAAAAAATATAAAAATTAATAAAATAAAATAAATAGAAAAATAAATAAAGGAAATTAACTGAACTAAATGAATTAAATAAATAAATAAGAAAATGAAAAATTTAAAAATTAATAAATATAACATCATCATCAAACAAATGGCCTCTGGTAGTCAGTATACTCCCCCATACTGTATTAATCAGTGACTTTATCAGAAAAAGGTTTATGAATGTGAAGGTGTACCCCTTAGTGAGCTTAAGCAGATTACCTCTTTGCTGTCCATTTGAAAGAAATGGCCCCAGGTAAATGTACATATCAAATTTCAAGGAGATAGTGTAACGCCAATGAAAATTAGATTTAAAATATTAGAGAAAATATTATCACATTTTACTTTTTTTCTGACAGATAAACAGTTTTCAGGAGCAGTGAATAAGCATACACACAGAAATTTTATAAAAGATATCTTAAATTATGAACAATTTTTGAGATTACTGAAACAGACAAATGCAGACACTACAATTTATGAATATATGCTAAATCATATAAAAAATATGAAAAAAAGCAGGCTATCAATAGATAAAGAGAAAGCCCTATAACAATGCTCACATTCTTAAGTTCTTAACATATCATTTAATCCTATCATAACCTCAGCACTCAGCTTTGCCCTTTTGACTGAGTGGAATTTTTATTAGCGGATTTCTTGACAGCTGTGTCATTGTGTTATCACATCCCTGTTATTATTTAAATCAAGACACTGGGTGATACTGAGAACACATGGTTTTTTTGTTATCTCCTTTCGTAATCAAAATCAAAAGGGGGAGATAAAGGAGAAGAAAATGAGATAAAACAGAAAAAGGCAGACAGAAATGGAAGGAAGAAAGAAGGGAAAGTATCAGAAGCAAAGTGAAGGAATAAAGAAAAGACAAGAAATACAGAGAAAAATTCACTGTTTATAATAACATTTTGCATTAATAAAAAATCAATGGAAACCCTGGACACTTCAGTCAGCCAGATCATTATATTATAAAACAACATGTAACAGGATGGTGCGGACAAAATGCCACGGTGGTGGTATTTAAAAATGAAATAATAATGATGCTTGTTGAAGAGAGATAATTTATTACTTCACACTGTCCTGATGAGTGAGGAAGTTTCCTTTCCTTCTTCCCACTCGGACCACCCAAATTCCGTCTATCTGCTCATATCAGAGACATGATAGCACTCTCTTAGAAATAGCATCTTTCACCTCAAGTGGTTATGGTGGTAACTCTCCAATTTCAAACTTCTCTGTTCAAATATTTTATTTAAGTTCCATCACTGTTTGCTCAAAAAACATACTAAGAGGCATTTGCCTAAACTCATTTTTAGACTTTTGAATGATGGGTTTATGGTTATTATTGATACTTCACTGTGTTGGAATATAATATGTATACAGTAAATAATTTGTTTTGTACAAATTTAGAGGGAAATTACCGTACTGTCAATCAAACCTGGGCCACAGTTTGAATTTCCAACCCTCCACATTTCAGCTTTGTACAGGTTCAACCATTCATTTAACTAAATGCCTTTTAAAACAGATGTATCTACTATCAAATTCCATATTGTAATCGACAAATGCTGGGGACCAAGGAAAAAGAAAAAAAAAAACGGAATTTGGCCTCTACCTCCCAACCTCCCCCATACAACATCTGTTAGAATTTCAAGCATCAATTTTCTGACCTTCAAAAATTCTGAAAATGCCAAAATGCCAACCGGAAAAAATCTTAACCCTTACATGTATGTGCTTTTTTTTCTTTATGTCTTTATGTATAAAGGCTTTGGCTATACAACAAAATAAAGTGTAGACATGAAAAGTACTGGTACTACTTGTACCAGCAGATAAGTTTAGGAGTGTTAGAAAACATTTCAATGTCTGTGTTAAACATTTATCATGGCCCTGATGCACAAGACCTTATTATATATATTTCATGTAAGCGCCCGCAAAACATTTCCTATATATTTGAGTTTAAGAGTATCTGAAAACATTTCAATGTCTGCATAAAACATTAATCATTGCCTGTTGCACAAGATCATATGTTATATAATTCATGCCCCCTCCCCTCTCAACACATTTTCTATACACGGACGCCAATAATCTATTTACCCCTGTTTCTAAAACTGATCACCTTTCCTCTAATACAGATAAATGACTTTCACTTTCTTCACATTCACATACATTCATCTGTTTTTATCTCCTATAACAAAAATCCATTCAGAAAAGGTCCAGTCATAACATTTAATCTATGAACTGATCCAATCATATTTTCAATCATTCAAAAACACAGAGACAAATAAAATAATTAACTAACTAATTAATCAATTAAACTACATAAAAGAAAAAATTCAAATCTTCCAAGAAAAACAATGCACTTGCTAAAAATAACATTAAAAACACAGAAAAAAGCAAGTCTCGGTGGTGCTGACATAACAGTAGAAGGGGAAGTATCAGTGGTATAGTGTACCGGGTATGAGTAATCCCTCCCCATGTGTGTGTGTGTGTTTACCTCCTCCACCCACACATGGCTATTAATGAGGAGAGGAAGTGAGGTACAAATAGCCGAATCTGTTCTGGTATGAGTTCACACATCAGCAGGAGAGCCGGCTGTGTGGAAGGTCGTGTGGACTGTCTCTCTCTCTCTTTTTCTTTCTCTCGATCTCTGCTTCATTCACTACAGGTAATGTGGATTTTGGTGGTACATGTATTCGGTTGGCTGCATAATTCAATTTACCTTTATTTGCCGTGTGAATTTTTATTGATCTGACACAAATCTGTTGTGGTATGGATTTTTTTCTTTGGTATCAGCTGAAACTTTTTGAACATTGTCTAATTCAAAATTTTGTGCAATGAGAATAAGTTTTCTGGTCTTTAATTGAGTTATGCAGACTCTATTGTTTACTGATTTCATTTTAATGTCTCACATGTATTTCTATAATTTTGACCACAAATGGATAAAACATGTATTTACTTAGTTGTTCTGACTGAATTTATGAAGATATTTTTAGAAAAGTTTGGCAATCAGTATATATTTCATCAAAGTATATGTTACAGGACTCCAGAGGAAGGTTTTTTGTTGGTTTTTAATTTAATCTGGGTATTTGACATTTACTTGGTACTATTGAAATGGTGAAATGAAAAATTGTGGACAATTATAAGTGTAGCAAAAATATATGTAGGAACTTATGGTTATACTGGTATTCATACACATGATTCTTAAGCACTTAGTTAACAGAAGTATTTACAGCTTAATAAAAATGTTTACTGTTAACACCTTGTTATAGGATAAGCACCTGAGTAGGTATTGACATATTTAATACTGTCAAAATATCACACCTGAGTACTACAGTATACACACAAATACATGACATAAATATTAATATGGTCTCCTGTAGTTCCTCTGGGACATCAGGGAAAATAAATGTAAGAAAGATGAGACTTCAGAGATAAATTATTATATAATGTGCATGTCTACTTGTAATTACTATATACAGAGGTATTAAAGGATTTTGTACACTCTTTCCACGAGTGTCAACTCTTTTCTTGTAAGGTATTTGCAGACGAAGGTGCTTATAAACACCTGAATATTGACTTTGTCTTGTTAAATGTCATTTACGTAACTTAACAGACCCCCAAAGTTATCACTGAGTCTAGACCAAGTCTAGACCTCATTTATTTGTCACTGGCATTTTCCTCCCTGCAGGTGAAGAACAGTAAGAGGTATTGTTTCAATTCAGACAATTAAGATTTGCAATTCATATTCTGTTATCTCATTTCAATGATTTTAACATCTTGTCTGATCTTTTTTTATGCGGTAAAATACTGTTCCT